ATTTTCATTGCCTGCTTAGTGAGACTTGTTATCCTTCCTGCCTTTCTTTAGCAGTTTATTTTGATTCAACATCACAGCTGAGGCATACATAATCATTACAGAATATTGTTATTTCTTAATTCTCAGCCTTTTTCCATCATGGATGCGACAGTGCAAGTTAAACACAGTTCCTCCCGTCTCAGTATAAAGCATATTTTCCATCCCTGCTGACACTCTTTGTCCTTCATTAAAATGCTCCAAATCTTGAAATCTGAACAGCAACTGTCAATGCCTAGCAGGCAATGACTTCATTAGATTGCATTTATGCACTCTCTCTACTTCTTGCCCTACATCTGCCATGACCTGCCAGCTCTCCTCAGAGTCACTGGGCATTTTTACACATGCAAGTGCCACAGCACCAGGCACTTTGAAAAGCACCCAGCACTGCAATGCTTGCACTTGCATAAGCAGGAAAATGCACATCAGTGCTGAGAAAATGGCAGTGGCATGTTTTTAAACTAAAACACATTGGAGGTGCTTTAGTGAAAAAGTGCACCATCACCATTTTGTGTCCTGACACATTTTGCCACTTATACAGCTGCACACAATGCAGTTCACCTCAGCTTGCCTCTGAAGTAGAAGATCTCTGGCACACTGCAGGACAAAAAAAGTGTGTATAACTATGTCCCAAGACAGGTCTCTCTCACTTAAATGTGGTTTTTCATTATGGTCCTAGGGTCTCTTCACCTTTGGCTGTATTTAAATGCTTAACGTCACTGTCCCCATTCATTTATTACTCATCTAGCTAGATGAAAGTGTATTCCAGTTTATTTGGCCTCAGCTGCTCCTGCTTTTAAGCAGTAGAGGGTCATTCTGGTTAATCTCTCATCAAGTGAAGGTGCAAGAGTGAGAATCCTGTACAGCTGACCTTCGGAGCAGTAGGACACCGGAAGGAAATGTTAACACTATTTGACATTAACAAATTTTAATTTCCTTTTTTTCAGTACAGTTAAACAAACTTTATTTTTATTAGGGACACTTTACTGTTATTAAAATGAAGGATATGAGGTGTTGATGCCCTGGGTACACAGGAATAGTAATGCTACAGAAATAGAAAAAGTCCACTCACTATAAGAACACATCCAGGTTTTTTAACCTACCTTCCAAGTTGTATTCCAAGAGGACCAGGATTATGGTCATTTAACTGGCAGCTGATAAACGCAGCTTGCTTCAGCAGCACTACTGCTGAATTTAAGACCCCAAGTACCAACCCTCTTAACTTTTCACATCTGATAGTTGCATTCAGTTCAAGTGTACATACGTAAACAGAAGTCAGCAGTGGTCAAATTTTACCCAAAAAGTGTAATTGTTTAATTCACTTCAAATTGGCCTGCACTACCAACCTCATTACACAGAATGGTTGTGAGGTATCTGCCTCACATTAGGTGTTCACACGACAGACAGCATGGCAGAAGAACTCCCCTGAAAATACCAAAATGCCAAACTGTGGAAGGACTCAACTATAAGGTATTAATCTTACACTATGGCTTGAGAGGAACAGGTTAATCATCCCTTTGCAAGGCTGCTTGTGTTGTAGAAATGTTTTAAAATGGTGGCTCTGATTATAGCAGTAAGAGTCCCTCTTCCTTAGCTATTGAACAAGATATAAATAAGAAATCACGGTTCTTAGTGCTATGTAATTTCGGTTTTTAAACACTGCAGGGGAACTTAGTTTCAAAACCTCATTTGACTTTTTGTAAGATAAAAGGGATGTTGTTAATTACCACAGTAGTGGGTTGGAGGTCTTTTCACAGTAAACTGTTTATTTTTACAAGTCCTAATTTGAAGATGCAACGTATTTCAGCAAACTGCTAGCAGTATGAAACACGTATTCAGTAGCTACAATGAAAACTAAATTTAAAAATGGTACCATTCGGCAAGACAGGACCTCTTTGCATCTGCTGTGAGTTTAAAAAGTTGGAACTTAAATCAAATGGAAGCTCTGCATAGAATTACCAATAGGTTCCAGCCCTCTAGGAAATACCAGAACTTATTGCACTTGTACTGGTTATATGGTCTTACAGCTAAGACCACAGTAAAGTAACTACAGTCGTTTTCTGTATTACCTTGGTCCTTAACACAAATACAGGTAAGCAAATGTGTAACCAGTCATTTATTTCAACTTCTTGTGAATGATCTTCACATTTAGGTCAGACTTTGAATGGATTTGTACTTTAGTAGCTGCATGGGGAGACTGGCAGGAGATGGAATTATGTAAGATAACTAATTTGGTCCATGTCAGTAATCAGTGATGTTATAAAAAATAAACTAGTTAATTCTGTATAAAAAGTAATGTTTTGCATTCTTTTGTTCAGATTGCACAGTACAAACAAGCTGAATATCTAAATTAATACTGTTACAGGTATTTAATATTACATTGGGACAGTGGCTAGAAAAAATAAGTACCTCAAAGCAACAGACTTTTGCAGCCAGCTTCTCATAGCATTGTATGAAAGTTTAAAATAGTCTTAGTTACAGGTATGCACATTATAAAATGTTTGGAAAATGTTTCAGTATGCACTGTTTACATTACTAAAATTTAGTAACAAGAGTACATGATAAGTGATTCTATTTACATTAAAAATCCATCTTCCAGAAAGGAATTTACAAGTGAAATAAATAACCTTCGGTAGTCTACATAATTGTAGGATCTGTTTCGAGTGGCCAATGGTACAAGTTAGGCCACTAATAAAATGTCACCACTCTGACAGATCAGTGAAAGTGTGCCTCATCCAGAAGGAAGTGCAACTTTGCTTAAAATTGTACTAGTTGCCTCTAAACATGCAGAATACACATAGGTACCTTTAAATATGGTAGTTCCCCAAAGCATTAGCCTTGAATATTTTATACAAGAGTATTCACAAAAACATACACTATTTTACAGGTCTTTAATACAAAATATTTTGGTGATATCAAACAATCTAGGAAACATTTTGATCAAGCCAATTAGAGCGTACACAGTCAGTGTCTAACTAGCTTCACTGGAGAATTCATATTTAAAGTCATAAGAAAACACAGGCAGGCTGATAATAATTACAAAAGTCTTCTCCAGCCATGCCCTATTACGCAGACACTCATCTAAAAGAATCTTCAAGGTAAGTGGCAAAGGGACCAACAACCAAAACTGTAATAAATGTACCTATGTATTGATATAAATTACTGTCCTTTTGCAATAGCCAGTACTACAGTCCAAAAATAGCAAGTTTACTATCCAGGGAAAGAAAGAACCAGTCCAATCCACACCTCTACAATGAAACCAAGTATTTTCATGTTTCCCTTTGCAGCTGTTTGAAATGTAACTGCTTATTAGTTGCATTATTGTCATCCATGGATGCGAGTTAAATTCTTTATTCAGTGAATGTAAAAGTAGGCCTGAAAGCTGGTCTGCTTCTTCCCAGGCTTGATATTTGGATATTTACCTTTGTCATCCTCCAACAAAAATCTTGCTAAGACACTGTGCAGTCATAACTGCCCTCCTGGAAAGGATCGTTCTCCTCTGTCCTAGATGTGTCCTCTTCATGTCTGCTTACACTGCAGCTGCTGCCATCACTCTGCGGGCTAGCACTGTGGCTAGCTGAACTCCTGCTTTCTTCTGCCCTTGGGCTGCTTTGTTCTGCAGTCTTAGAAGGATTTGCTGGCTGAAAAGCTTCAGGCTGCACTTGCTCTTCTGTTATCTCACTTAACTTCTGTAGCTGTGGCTTGAGGACATTTAGAAATGGCTTGTAACCGGGGCTAAAAGAAAAATTAAAATTTTAGTGAACTAAAAATTGCATTTCATTCATGTTCTGTTCTCCAGGCTTCGGCATTAAATGTAGCTTTCTCTCTACTACACCACGGTCATGGTACTACAGTAATTCTCTCACCATTCATCTGTAATGTGTAATAAAAGTTGTTCGGTCAAGTTGCTTTCCTATATAGAGAAAGTGACTGAAATATACAGTACAGGAGACAGATAGTGACAGTCCATCTTGCTCCAGTAGGGGAAACTGCTAGAGAAAATGTTCTGATTCAGGAAGGCAGAAGTCCCTGACCTTAGACACTTACTGAAGCAAACATAAACAGGGTTCGAGCACTGGAAGTGCATCCAGTGGGATGCTCTCAGCATTTACTTAAGAACAAATCTTCCATGCAGCTTTGCAAGTTTTCAAAGGGTTAAAAACAGTGTTTTGTACATTGAAACATGTTATAATTTCCACTTAAACTAGAAACTGTATGTTAGGGCACAACAGACAATGAGGCCCCATTTCTTGCTTTCCCCCCCACCCCCAAATATGCAAGTAGCCCACCCTGAAAAAGCTGGAATCTTAAAAAAAAATCCTATAGAGATTAAATGATAAAATCAGAGCCAGCCCTCAACTCAGCCATCTGGCCGAGACAAGAATGTGAAATGTAACACCTACCAGTCTGTGGAAGCCCATCTGTCTACAGCATGCAGGCCAGTCTTGATATTTTGCCAGATCTCTCCATCAATCTCAGAGGTTTGCATTATACTAAAAACCTGGTTGATGACTGAAGACTCTCTGAGAATAAGTCCTATCACAATACACCAGTCCAAACACCCTGCTTCTGTGAAGATATGCAGTAAATACCTACATGAAAAGAAAATGCAGTCTGAGTCACTCTCCATCTGAACAGCATTACAGATGCCAGGACTAAATCATTCATTTTAGTCTGAAATACCATAACAAGGTAACTTACCGTAGCTGAACTTGCGACTTGTGCGGCCCTTTGCTGGCCAGTTCCAGAGAGATGTGTTCCAGCTCTGACTGCGTCAGACTTAAGCCAGAGAAGTTTTCGTCCACCATGGTCCAGTCACCATCCACCATAGAGCTTGTTTCTGTCAGGTCTGTTGCTGAACCAATGCTACACTCGTCACCTTCCAAAAAAGAGAGATTAAAAAAACATAAAAAGCCAAGAACCTATTTAACAGCATTCAATTTTTTCCATTGCTTCCTTTAACAACTGCACAGGAAAATATATTAACTATTTGTGACACAGCAACAGTTACTCATTATCCAG